TTCAGTGTGTGATGGGTGGGATCAAAGTCTCTCAGGACATCAGAGCGTTGGGTGAGCACTGGGCACAGGAGCTCTGCTCCCATCAATCCTACCACAGGCAGGCAGCTCGTGGTAAATAAACACAGTGTGACAGGAGGAATGAAATATTTACTTTGGCTCATTAAGGTTTGCACTGAGGTGGAAGAATTAATCCCACAACAAATTAGGCCTCATCTATTGCTTCTAGGGTTCGGGATTTTTTTCTAGCATCAGACACGCAGCTCTATCTGCTCTTCTCAAATCCAACAGAAATCAGTGGCTGGAGCCAAGAGCCTTTTGGGGGTTTGGAAAGACATGGCAGGAGTGGTGAGTCACGGCTTGAAGGCTTCCAGCAAGCTGGGGTGAGCTGGGGCTGCCCTGGGCAGCATAAGAATGGGGGGAGTCCAAAGAGGGACCTGGACATTTGGCCTGGGGAGGCTACTGTGCTGGGGGTGCAGGTCATGACCCCACCTCTTTAAGTAGCTACCTTTTTTGGTTTCCTTGGCTTGTGATGGCAGTTAGAGGTAATTAGAGGTAATGCTAGCTTTGTTCTCACCAAGATGCAGGTGAGCATCAGCCCTGCCCCTTGTGATCTCCCAGGGTACGATCTCTCCTGACCTGTGGTCAGCTATGGGGACAACTGGTAAACCAAAGCTCTGGATCCAGAGTTGCAGGTGTCCCAAAGATGGCGTGGAGCAGATTTCACTCTAGCAGCTATTCTTTGGCCTCTGTTTACTCAGAGGTTTACTTGGAGGCCTCCAGCCACGCCGCAGAAGGTGGCAGTGAGGTAGTGTGCTGATACACGGAGGCTGTAGAGTCTCTCTGCTCTGGAAGTGTCGGTCAGACCCGCACGGCTCTGTGCAGAGTTCATAAGCCTGTTCCTCCCAAGAGGCAGATCACGTTAGTGTTTTTGCTTTGCCTACTTTCTCTGTTCCAGCCCTCTCTCTTACTGCACACGCAGGGTGAGAGATTGCTGAGACGGTTCCTCTCCGGAGGCTGTTAAGAGACATTTAGCTTCAGTTAAGACTCCTCATAAAACGAGTCAGTTTTTGGGCAAGACAAGGCAGCGCTTGGAAGCCCTCCAAGCCGGTGGAAGGAAACATGATGCTCAGGCAGGGCTAGAGCTGCTGGTCCCAGGAGATGCGAGCAGGAGGAGCGCTGACAGGGAGAGCTGGGAGGTGTGGAGGGAAAGGGGCTCTCAGGTGGAGCTGGGATTACCTAAGGAGCACATTGGGGAATACGACTGAGGTTGTCGTTTGGAACACTCTCCTGGAGGAGATCTGGAGCCACAACAGACTTATCCAGGTAAAGAGTTGTCTCAAAATATCCCATTCTTTTCCTAGAAACCAGTTAGCCTCTCTGCTGAAAAAGGAACAGTTATGGATGCTGTGGGCAGGTGGGAAAGCAAGAAACACCTTCACCCTGCCTTGGCACGCTTCCTTACAGTCAGCCCCAGGCTTGTGCATCCCCTGTGGAGCATCCAGCCTGCTGGCCTAGAGGTTTAGGCCATCTTAGCCTTTTCTCCACCCACTGGCATGGGGAAGGGGACAACGTCTCACCCCCGAGCAGCGCCCCTTCAGCGGGTGCCTGGGTGGGCTGTGGGCAGCAACAGCCTTGCTGAGAGCTGGGGGCAGGGGAGGCAGCATGGGGGCTGCTTCCCTCCCAGGCAGAGGGTCCCTGGAGGTGGTGGGGTGCTCCCAGACAGCAGCTCCCTTTCTCTCTTGTGTCGCGGTGCGCATTGTATTTCTTGGCACCATGCATCCATGACATCTTGATTTGCAGACAGTCAAATAAAACAGAAAAATAACGTCCCCTGTTAATAGGTTGACACACTGCTTCAGGCCAAGTGTGAGTATTTCTATAGCATTTGCTTTGCTGCCTTATGTCAGTAACTGTTGCTATTGAAAGTAAACACCCCAACTGGTTAAATCAACAGGGTTTTGTTTATTCAAAGCTCATAAACTCCAGTAGCTGTAGGTCACTTTATGAAGTGCCAACCCCTGGGGGAAGAGAAGGAATAGTGTGAAATTATTGCATGCAGTCCACCCATCATGAGCCTTAGAGGAAGGGGATTTATTGGCAATTAATATTTCTTGCAGAGGAAAAAAAGTAATCCTATTGAGGCAGCTCCACACTGAACCTTGAGCCTCCTTACTGATGGAAACGGGGAATGGGGTGAAAACTTCTTATAGGTCTGGGTAAAAAAGAAAAGAAAGGTCTTGGAAAATGAAAAGTGGGGTTTTTTTCATAAAGGGTTGGCACACCCTATAGCAGGAGAAGAAGAGTGCAGGCAAAATGGGGCAGAGGAAATCAGGTGCTTGGTAGGTACCTGTATTCCTCCACCTTTCCCTTTAGCACGCTGTCTGCATTGAGAAACTCAACAAATTGCATTATCATATTGCATATGTGCAGCACATATAATGCACACATGGGTTTTGTACACCTACAGGGGTGACCGAGTCTGGGTCAGGGCGAAAGCAGTTTTGGAGATGCCTGTAGCCTGCCCATGCTGTAGATGCCTGAACAGAGCTCTGCATCAGCCTGGCTGCTGCTGGCCATGGCCGTGGGGAGCTGCATTGGGGTACCCGTGGAACTCCCCTGCCCATCACAAGCTGCCAGGCAGCGCTGCTGAGGCCACCCCAGCTCGGCCGAGGATGGCAGAAGGGTTTTTGGCATTTTCCAAGAGCTAGGATCACGTTCCCGGTGAGCCGGCTGTCCTCCCCGGCTCCCTGGTAGGTCGCAGTGTACACAAACACTGTGCTCTATGGAAGTTGGACAGAGGCTTGGTCTTCAGCAGCGATTTCCAGCTTGCCGAGGTCCAAATGTAATTAAGATGAGTCAGACGGTTATTTCCAGGCTAAAATTTGTCCTTCCTCGTCCTGAAAAAGCCTTGAGAACCACTGATCTGTTGGATGTCAGGTACAAAGCTCTCTACTAAAAAACTGAAGTCTGTAGAAGGCATGGGTTAATCTGGAATTTCTGACTATTTAAGGTACTTTGGAAGTGAAATTTGGGGATTGAAAAGGAATAAACGGTGTCTAGGGCAAAGCTTAAATACATTTTCTCTTGGCTATTGTAGAAGTGTTTTTGATGATTGCTATTTACTTTTAAGCCTTTAAGGTTACAAATCTGTCTTTGTGATAAATCCAATTATGAACTCATAAAAAATTTGAGTATTTAGGGAAACGAATTAATCATACAGCCATGTGAAAGAAATTAGCAGGTCCTGTGAAAATAATCTGAATATATATTCTTAATTGGCAGTATCTTAGCCCAGCTGTTGCTATATATTTGAAGGGAACAATGAGTCATAAGGTTGTTTTAAATAGACGTTAAAAAATGCCTCTCAAATGGGACAAGAAAGTTATAAATATTGAATTATCTGTATTTTTAACAGGAGCAAAAACTCCATGTCATATGACTGGCAGAAAGGGTTCAGCTGAGCTTGTCCCTGCTAAATAAATTGCTACCTTATTCTACAGACACCTGTCTGAAAGGTTTAATGCTTGTGTTTTCCCACCAAATACTCTTAGCATTTTCTTGATGTGGTGAGAGAATCTACACAGGTCTCACTGCAGCCAAGAGCTGTCAGGATTTCGGCTTTCTGAAGGCTGCACAGCAGTAAGAGCGTGCTGGGACCAGGTCACAGAAACCACAGCCTTGCCTGCGTGCGAGCGTTCGGCCAGCACCAAACATATAGGATAATATTTCCTTATTTTTGGCTCAGCAGCCAACGGTGTTCAGTGAAGGGAAGACACAAGTGCTCAAGGTCTCTTGGGAGCAGGCTCTTTGTCAGAGAAAGTCAAAATCCAGCCAAGGCAGCTGTTAAATAGATGAGCGGCATCCTCCAGGGGCCTTTCCAGTTGGGGTGGATGAATCTGGAGGAGTTTGAGTGCAGGTCATGAACTCTCAGTTCACCAGACCCAAACTGCTGCCCACCTGGTCTGGTCACAGGGAAGCTCATGATATTTTCCAGCTGTCTGTGTTGTAGGGAACAATTCTCACATCTTTGCTTTCTTCGGCTCCTGCCGCTTATTAGCAAACAGTTGGAATAGCCTTGCAGGGATGGTGACTGGGATTCTCCAAAGCTTTTCTGACCATGCAGATGGCTGTTTTAATGGGATGAGAGGAAAGTAGGTGGAGGGATGGTCCTATCCTGGTTTTCTGGCCGGGGAAGGAGAGAATAACTTGCCAAAGTCATGCTCCAAGTTTGTGGCTAAGGCTAAAGACCTTAGGAATCCTTAATCACGTATATGCCCATCTGGATTCCACCCTACCTTTTCTTTCCTTGCCTTTTATAATCAAACTCAGTTTGCAGCACAGGGCCCTGCTCCTCAGATGTTTTGGCCTCTGCAAAACATGCTTGCAGCAAGCCCAGGCTGCAGCAGAGTCCCTGCGTGACCCTTCCTGCTCACCAACATGAACATGGCTTTGTGGTTGCCCCTCTTGTTGTGTGCACAAGGCTTGGTGCCTGCACATGGAGACAGTGCTTTTGTTGGCAAACAGACTGTTCCATGCCCAGTGTAGTCCCTGTTCTGTAGGAGGCAGTGGGCTTTTGTAGAAGAGGTTTATTTTTAATTTTTTTCTGAAGGAATTCAGTGTTATTCAGTGGAATCCTCTCTGCAGGTGGAATTTTTGGGCTCCAGGGCTGTAGTGTGCCTGCACTTGAAAATTTGGCTATTTATTTGGAAACAGACATGGGCAAGTTCCAGCTCATTCATCCAAGCTGTCCTTTCTCAAGGACAAGGAGTAAGGCCAGCACAGCTGAAACGCTGCAGCCAGCTCCTGAATGTTTCCAAATAAAATGCCTTGAGTAAGTTTATTTTTCCCTCTTGAACCTAAATTTAGCACCCTGGAGAAGCTGCTTTGGCAGTCAACGGACGGTAACGATGACAAGATCAATCTGTGGATAGTTCTGGGAAGATCTGGAAAGTCCTGGTATAACAGAGTTTGTTTCATTCATGTCTGCAATTTGTCCACAGCCCAAAGATCTGCTCATGAACTTCCAATGGTCGAAAGACAAGATATTGATAGCTGCCTTGTTTATGGAGGACAACAAATGATCCTGACTGGACAAAATTTCACAGCAGAGTCCAAGGTGGTGTTCACAGAGAAAACATCAGGTAAGGGAGTTTTTTTTTATAACCTTCCCTAATGGAATAAGGCAAATCCGTAGTGCTGTTGGTCTCATCCTAAGATCTGTGCTCATGAGTGAGTAGTACTGTTCAAGTTCTTGCAAGTAAAACCATATCAGTTGACTTAACTATATGAGTAAAATTAGACCTGGAAGCAAATATTTGTGTTACTGGTTCACAAGAATACAGATACTGGGAATCAGTAGGAACAGGATATGTTATCAAAGAAATGCAATGACTATTACGTGTTCCTCTGTGCTTGTTCAATCTCTGTTTAGCGAACACTGCTGTGGAAATCATAATTGAAATGAACATTTTTTTATTGATGTGAGCTCCAGGCAAAGATTGCGTTGTGTTCCCTTTAGAAGTCTATGGGGGAAATTGTTCATAATGTGTGTTTTTTGTATCAAAGTAAAATTATTTTTATACATACTGAGATAAAAGAATACATCACTTCATCTTCCATATATTTTCAGATCTTTTACATAGGCTCAGACTTTAGCAAAACAAATAAAAATCAATTCACAGAGAAAAGCCCCGTTACAGCCCAATGCTACTTTTTTTTTTCCCAGTAGAGCTGCTTCTTTTAGAACATGCTTTGCCAGTTTTCAGGTTAATTTTGCTAGCTCTTGAGCAACCATGAAGTGGGAATGAATGGCAGATTGTAGATTCTCTCTTTTCATCTTATTTGTTGACTTGCACAGAGCCAGTACAAGATGGTCCCAAGCCCTGACTGGAGTTGGATGAATATAAATACATAATAGGAATAAAGAATGATTACTGGGAATTATTTAGTTGCCTAGCATCACCTTTACTGCCTTTCCTGATCTCTCTGTATTGTGTTTTCATAATGGCATGCTAAAATAAGCGTACCTTGATTTCTAACTCAAAGAATACCTGACCCCAGAAAATATGCTTAGCATGATCTAATGGTTAAGGTGGGCAGCATAAATACAGGTTTTCTTGTTTACAGGAGGAAACACAAACAAATGCATTCTGCTGTAGTTACCTGTTTTTTTCAGAGCTGAATTGTTTCTTTTCTAGTATCATACGCATGTAGGCATTTCATGTCACCTCACTAAGCAGTATGTGTATTTCATTGAATTTTCTAAGGCTTTTGCAAAGGGACATTTGTTTCTTTGTAAATGGTCTGGACTTGTTTAACTTACCCTTCATTAGGCTTGATTTTTGTATTCTAAATACTGCGCTCTACAAGGATAACAACAGTGTCCAGGGATCAAAAAAGCACTTTGCAAATACGAACGGCCAGACTCTGCCATCCTTTACCCCTCTTGATTTCAGAGAGACAAAGGACTCTGCAGTATGAAAAGCATTAGCCTGTTTTATGTAAAATTTGTGTTCCTTTTGTGCTGTTAAGAAAATGCATTACTCCGAAGTTTTCCGTCAGGTAGAGACAGCTTAAGCGATATATCCAGTGGCTTGCAAGGGATTTAACAAATTAAGTGGACAGCACGTACGCGATTTATGGGGTAATGCCTTTGGCAAAAAGAAAGAATTGAGCTGAAAATTAATGTATGCGGGCATCAGCTGGTGACATGGGGAGTGGGGGGACCATGCCATGGGTCCCAGTTTATTCCCACACCACCAGCAAGCCATGCTGTTTTACAGCAAGAATGAAAGAAAGGCTCTGGGCTTGGAACTGTGAAGGTTCAGATGAGCCTGTGCAGTCAGAGCAATTTTCTTGGCACCCTGTATTTCCTTTTAAGCCCGTGTATTAATTCCTTCCCACTGTGCTGCCACTGTTCCGTCGATGTCAGCGAATCGTGAAGGTGCATGGGAACATGCTTGGCAGCCCGTGACAGTACCTGTCCCAAGAATGTTCTGCAGTAACTAAAGGAGATGATACACTAAAAGGAGGTAGCTCTTAATGCCACTTCGAGGAAACATCCAAAACGCCCTGCCCCTATTTCCATATAAGAGCAGGGAAGGCTCTGGCTGGAATAGATGTTAGAAAGTAAAAAGAACAACAACATTTTCCACACTAAATCTAAAGCTTCTCTTCACTGCTGGGGAAACTGCATTTTTTTTTTTTTCTTCTTTTTTTACCTCTTGGTAGCGGAGAGGCATGACTTATCCCAGCGCAGTGCCCAGTCTGGAGCAGGGATTTGCATCCTGGTGTTCCATATCCTGTCTCCCCCACTGCCCCTTGGCCTCTGCAGGACTTTGAATAAATGATTGGCAGAGGGGGAATTTAGAGGATGGGAGGCCCGGAGTCAAATCTTCGGTCTGAATCAGAAGGCTGGGTCATTTGCAGTGGGTTATCTGGGGGACTCTGCTGCGTGCTGAAGGCCAGCTAGTTCTCTGGATGCATGCACTGTTTTATAATGCAGCGATACCTCTTACAGATATGCCCTGAAGTGCTTTTAAGTGAAGATTGCTTCCTTTAATAGGTGTATCTTAAGGTGAGGAAGGTTAAGAAGCTGAGCTGGGTACGCAAATCGTGCAGGGGCTGATCTGCCTCTGTCTGACTGCAGTTGATTGAGAATTAAGCCTTTGTGCTTGGGTTGTCACAGGTTAATGAGTGTCCCAGCTTCCCTGAAAATTAGGATCTTACGCACCTGTGACTTTCAGCTTTTGTCATTACACACTATAGACAATTTTAATTATCACTACCATGGCCAGTCATTGCATTAGGCTGCATGAACACAAAACAAAAAGGCCTGACTTATCAATTAGAAATGTCAGTGGGTGGGAGGAGGAGGTGGGTCCCGCGCTCACCTCGGGGAGCTCGCTCGCTGCAGATCCGATCTGCACAGCACCTTGCAAAAAGCACTGATAAGCTGCTCAGAAGCAAGGCAAGCCACAATAAACATCCCGGTGGGTGGAGAGTGCCTCGCTGGCCTGACCCTGCCATTGTTGCACCCTCTTCCAGAGCGCGACACAGCCCCGGGGAGCCTGTGACAGAACCTCACCTTTGTTTTCTCTGAGTTTCACTTTAACAGCTCAAGTGGTATTTGATTTCCCACTTTTGCCACCAATTTTAGCTCTATAACTAACGACAAGGGTGAGAGCAGCAGTGTAGATAACCATCTAATAACTTTTGCCACGTCATAGTCCCTAGAGCTCCCTCACTTGGCTTCTTTGTCCAGTGTTTAAGATCAGAGCAGCAAGATTCTTTTTTCCCAAAAAACCTTTGGTGAAGTATCTTTGGGCAGTGAGACATTCTCCTGTTAATTGTTTCATAGACTCCAAAATCTTGTACCTTGGGTCTGGGGTCTGAATCGGGGTCTGCAGCGAGGCGGGTGCTGAGGAGGTGGCAGTGCCTCACAACACTCAGGAAACGGCTGGTGGGGCTCACAACTGTAAATTAGGTTTTAACCCTCAGACAGACGATCAAAACCTATTTCAGTTTCCTATGGACCTCGTCGGCAATTCTTCACTCACTACTAGCAACACAGAGATATTTGTGACCAAAACACAACATGCTTCTAAGAACAACAGTGAATAGTTTTTACTTCTCTGTTACACAAAACCACAGATATGTGTATTTTTCCCTAGAAATACTGTGAAAATTAAGACTATTCCCCAGATTATGCTGGGATGTCATTATGAAAATAACTGCCGCCTTGTATGATGCGAACGGCAAACTGTTGCAATGAGTTCGCCAATGAGAAGTCTGTGAAAGTCTCTCATTTTAGGCTGGTGACAGGAAATGGCAGCAGGAAGTGAACTGAAGGGGCTGGAGCTCAGTGCTCTGTGTGCGAGCGAGGGGATAAAGTACTTGCATTTGAAATGCTGATGCATAAATAGCATTCATTTGCTTAATGATAAGGTTTACCAACATGCAAGCATTACAGTTTTGAGGGTTTTTTTTAAGGTTATCTCTTCCTGATGAAAGATTGTCATTGGTAGCTGCTGTAAGGCAGGGAAACTCATGAACTTGGTAGGGTCAGTCCAGCACACAAGCACAGAGTTTGGCTGAGGTTGTTTTGAGATCTAATGGTCTTCTAAATGAAGATAGGTCAGGGGGAGCAACTAGATTGGATTGTACAGATAGAAAATTTTGAAGTGCACGTATTCTTTTAATTTTGATCTGGAAGACAGAGCTTGAAAAGCAGCCTTATGGCTATCAAGGATTTGGAATATGCTAAAGGTCAAGGGTATTAGTATTTGGTTGGGGCCCAGATCTTACAATGCAGTTAAAAAAAGAAAAGGGTTGGAATTCCCCCTTTTATTTGTTTTAATTGTCATGTAATAACTTGCAAGTCAGATGTTGGTTGCATTGTGTTTACTCCCATTTGTGTACTGGTTACTGCTGCTCTGCTGTGAGTGATAGAGGAGTTTCGTGTTTCCCTGGGAGAAAAGTGCAAATGGACTGTGCTTTTCCTTGCCAAACTCTTCTGGTGGCCACATGGACATCATGAATCATCGCTAGGACAATGTGGGTGGTGGAGAAACAACACAAACAGAAAGCGTACATCTTTGGAGTAGATCCACCATAAATCTTTCAATTCAGCCGTGCAGTGTAAAGAGAAGAGGTGGTGCTCCCTGTGCCCTTTGAACTGATGCAGCTGTCAAGGCTGCTGAAGCATAGACACTTAAAGTCCGCTTGACAAAAATAAATCTTTCCAGCTCTTAGGTTCAAGCAATAGGGTTCTAGTTTCTTTTTCCCTTGAGTTCCTGTGTATCGGTGATATCTTCATGGCAGTGGTTTCTTAGGAGGCTAATAGCTAGAACAGGTGAGCTTGAAACACTTGAATGTCTGCTGGTTTCAGGATCAGGGCCATTGTGTTCAGCATGTCGGTGGTGAGTTGAGGCTTTCATCTGCATGGTGTCCAAAATGCTGTGCTGAATGGAGACGCTTGTCTGCGTACACCAGAAACGAACCATGGAGCCTGTGCTAGTGACCAGGATACTGAGACCCACAAACCTTTCTTCTTCCCCCTGTCTTGTTCCATCTTGTACCACCTCTGGCTCCATCCTGTACCCCCTTTGGCATACCTGGCAGCTTCACTAAAAAAATAAGA